CTCCTGCTACAATTAAACACCATTCGACCTCATCACACTCAGCTCAATACTCAATTCATGATCGTGCACTTAACTTCAAATTGTATATCAAAATTCCGAACAGCGTCAATAAAATTAATAGATATGAAGAAACTGAAACGTACCATTTTGGAGATAAGGCTTGTATTCAGTAGGGGAAAGGTGCATCTTGATGTCGTCGAGGGTCTCGCACTGGCCGAGGTTGTTGTAATTGGCGGCAGTGAGGAGGCTGGCTCCTGGGTGCGAACCCGCAAGCTAGTCGCGAACCCAGGCTCCTAGGTGCGAACCCACGAGCTGGGTTCGCGAGGAACCCAAGCTGCTGGGTGTGAACCCGTGAGCTGGGTTCCTCACGAACCCAGCTCGTGGTTTCGCACCTCGCGAACCTAGGTTCATGCGTGCGAACCCACGAGCTGGGTTTGCGAGGAACCCAAGTTGCCGAGTGCGAACCTAGGCTCCTAGGTGCGAACCCACGAGTTGGGTTCACGAGGAACCCAAGCTGCCGGGTGCGAACCCGCGGGCTGGGTTCCTCACGAACCCACCTCGTGGGTTCGCACCTCGCGAACCCAGGCTCCTGGGTGCAAACCCACGAGCTGGGTTCGCGAGGAACCCAAGCTAAAGAAAAGGCCGAAGGAAGGAGAGGATGGGGAGGAAAGAAGAGGGTAAATTAGTAATTAAAGGAAAAAATTTTAAAATGTCATCAATTTTTGAGGGGCAAATCTGTAATTAAAAGTAAAAAATTTAACCATGTCATCAATTTTTGCCACGTGGATTTTCCACGTAATTTAATTAAAAAAAATAAGTTTTTCCGTTAATTAACCTGCTACATCAACCAAAATTTAACGGAAGGACTAAAAAGGGACCGGATTTGTGAACAGTAAGGACCAAAAAGGGGATTTTTTCAATACAGGGACCAAAAAAGGGCTTTTTCCTATAGTAGAGGGACCAAAAAGGGTATTTAACCCTTTTTTTGATCATCATCACTACAACTATTGAAGTATGTTGATGGAGAATTTTCTCCGGTCAGAAGAGTATTGGACAATTGTTGAAGCTAGAGTTCCAGAACTAACGGTAGGTGCAGATGCTGTGCATAGAGGGCGGAAATTGAGAAGGAAAAGTTGAAGGATCTCAAGGCTAAGAACTATTTGTTCCAAGCCATAGATCAGGCTATCTTGGAAACAATTCTTAATAAGTTTACTTTCAAGACCATTTGGGATTCCATAAAGAAGAAGTACCAGGGGAATGAAAAAGTAAAGCAACAGCAACACTAGGCTTTGCGAGTATAATTCAAAGTCTACAGATGCAGATTGGTGAATTTGTAGATGACTATTTTTCAAGGACTATGGCAATTGTAAACAAGATGAGGATCCATGGTGAAAATCTGGAGGATATTGCCATAGTTGAGAAATTCCTTCAGTTTATGACAATAAAATTCAATTATGTTGTCTATTCAATTGAGGAGTCAAATGATATTGAGGCACTTTCCCTTGATGAGTTGCAAAACCCGTTATTGGTTCATGAGCAGAAGATAAACTACCAAGACAAGTGAGAGCAAGCTATGCAAATTTTGCAAATGCAAGCCTTGTAGACCATAGTTAATTAAAGGGCTATAGGTCAAGGAAAAGGAAACTGGAAAGGCTGACCAAGATCTAGCAGATTGAGATCTGACAGACTGGAGGGAAGTTCAGCTACTGGAAATTAGAAGAGGTGGCAGAATAAAAATTATCAAGTTGCAGATAACAGATCCAAATCTACAGGCAAGGCAAATGTTGAATGCTTTCAATGTCATAAGTATGACCATTATTGTTCTAAGTGTCCTGCTAATTTGAATAAAGGAGAAAGTTCTAACTTTGCAGAACACAATAAGAAGAATGACGATGCCTCTTTATTCATGGTCTATCATCCTAAAGAAGTTAGCAAGAAGAATGTGTGGTATCTAGATACTGGCTGTAGCAACCACATATGTGGAGACAAATCTGTGTTTTTTTTTATTTGGATGAGTCTTTTCAAGATAAGGTGAAATTTGGTGATAATTCTACTATTGCAATCAAGGGAAGAGAAAAGGTAACCATTCGTGCCAAAAGCAATTCAATTCAAACTATTGCTAATGCTTTGTATAGTTTGGGACAACTTCAAGAGAAAGGATATGAAATCCTAATTAAAGATGGAGTTTCCCAAGTTCGTGATTCAAAGCTTGGCTTTATTGCAAAGGTCAAGATGATGGGAAATAGGTTATTTCCATTATATTTGCAGGCCACAAATCTGTCATGTTTATATGCGAGATTGAAGGACACAACTTGGTTATGGTATTGCCAATATGGACATCTTTATTTTGGTTGGTTGAAGGCCTTATAGCAGAAGAAGATGGTAAATAGTCTTCCTCATTTTGATTCTCCTTTAGAAATTTGTGAAATCTGCGTGGTTAGTAAACAACACCATAATAGCTTTCCTAAAGACAAATCTTGGAGAGTAAAGTGGGTGCTAGATCTGGTTCATTCTTATCTGTGTGGACCCATAAATCTAACATCCAATAGAGGTAAACAATACTTTATTACCTTTGTTGATGATTATAGTCGCAAAACATGGGTGTATTTTTTTGCAGACCAAGTCAAAAGCCTTAGCAACCTTTAAAAATTTCAAACTCTTGGTTGAGAATGAGGCTAGCAAATCTGTAAAGGTTCTATGCATAGATCATGGTGGTGAGTTTAACTCACAAGAATTTGTAGATTTTTGTGAATCCAATGGTATTAAAATGCAACTCACAACAACATATACACCCAGCAGAATGGTGTATGTGAAAGAAGGAATCGCACAATCATGAATATAGTGCGAAGTCTGATGTCAAATAACGGCTTGCCTAAGGAGTTTTGACTTGAAGCTGTTAATTAGAGTGTTCATATCTTGAACAGAAGTCCCACATCTCTATTTCCAAATATGGCGCCAGAAGAGGCTTGTAGTGGACACAAACCTATTGTTGACTACTTTAGAATTTTTGGGTGCATAGCATATGCACATGTACCAGATTAGAAAAGGGGTAAGCTTGATGACAAAGGGGAAAAATGTATTTTTCCTGGTGTTAGTGATTAGTTCAAAGCTTATAGATTATACAATTCTATAACCAAGAAGGATATCATTAGTCGTGATGTAGTGTTTGATGAAGTAAGCATTTGGACTTGGATAGAAAAATTTGGGTGACAGATTCTTATGGATTTCGAAAATGGAGAAGATATGACTGTATAGAACTTAGGAGGTCATGCACAGCAGAATGGAGTTCTAACTTCAACAGACCTTAAGGCTTCAAGAAAGGCAGATGAGGAAATTCTGCTTGTAGTAGTAGAAAAAAGTACTAAAGGAAATCTGCCAACAACACCAAAACTAGAATCTAGAACTAGTTCACGATCTCAACGCAAAAAGAGAAGACCAGTGTGGTTGGAGGATCATGAGGTAACAAATCTACCTCAAAGTGATGTTCTAGTTACTCATTTTGCTTTATTTGTAGATTGTGATCCTTTGACATATGAAGTGATTGTTAAAAAAGAAAAGTGGCAAAAAGCCATGGTAGAAGAAATTGGTTCTATTGAAAGGAACCAGACTTGGGAGTTGACAGATCTTCTAAAAGGGCACAAGACAATTAGTGTTAAATGGATCTACAAGACAAAGCTCAAAGAAAATGGGGAGGTTGACAAATTCAAAGCTCGCTTGGTGGCAAAGGGTTACAAGCAAGAGTTCGGCATTGATTATCACTAAGTTTTTGCTCCAGTTGCAAGGTTGGACACTATCAGATTGGTGATTGCATTGGCAGCACATAACTCATGGTCGATCTATCAGCTTGATGTGAAATTGACCTTCTTGCATAGAGATCTACAAGAATAGGTATTTGTTGATCAACCTCCTAGTTATGTGAAATCTGATTTTGAGCATAAGGTTTATAGATTGAAGAAAGCATTATATGGACTAAAACAAGCAGCTAAAGTGTAATATCCCAAAATTTTGGGGTATTTTAGCATTAAATTAGGGACTTATTTGAGGAAAAATATTGTTTTGGGGCTTAATTGCAAAATTTTAAAAAGTTGAGGGGCTAAAAAGAAAGGAAATTAGGATAAGGATGAATTGCTTTTTCTTTTTCTTTTTCTTTCTTTTCTTCCTCACAGCCGCGTGTTTCTGCTTCTGCTTCCCTTCCTCCCCCGACCCTCTGCACCCGACGAGTCCCCCCAACTACCGCCACCCATTTTCCAGCCGGAAATCCGGCAAAGCTTGGGGATTTCTCCCTATTTTCTTGTCTTAGAACACCTGTTGAACCCAGAAAATCCCAGATCTGCGTCTTCCTCCCTCTGCTGTCCGCCGGCTTCAACTTGTGGGTTTGAAATTTCTGGGCATTTTTCG